ATGGGTGTTTCGGAGACACAGCATACATCTAAAGTGAAATTTTCAAGGGTTCCAGCCAAGGCAGCTTGTTGGCCAATCTGATAGAGCGTGCTGACATTGAACGCGGCTATGTGAAGAGGGTATTTTGGGTTGAAGAATCTCGTAATTTCTTGTTGTTTGGATTGTTGATAAAGCATGGAATGATATGCGGTGGGCCTTGTAAAAGAGCAAGCGTTTGGGACTATTCTGCATTGAGAGGAAGAATTAGCTGGATGAGAAATAAGTTTTTTGAAATGGGTTCCTACGACTTTGGGGCACTGCACACTTCGCGGTGGCCCACACCGACGAAGGGGTTTTTCTTTGGGAACCCTAACCGGAGCCTCTGATTGAAGAATCTGACCCTCAAGTTTGCTGAAACATTCAAGGTGATGTTCATGGTTAAGTAGAATTCAACTGTATGCATGTGGCTCGTTCCCAGTATTCGTTGATCGTTGCAGTTTTAGCGGTAAAGCTGAAGTGCCAATACATGAGGCAGAAGAATAAAGCTTCCTTAAGGGCGTCGGAGCAAGCATCATGGTCACGTGACGTGTTAAATTCTACTATTTCATAGTAATTTCATTGCTGTGTGCATACCTTCGTGTATGCACACAGCTGATGAGTTTTCCACAAAATAGTTTTTATTTAACACTTTTATGCGGTACTTTCGACCGGGCCTGTGATTCTTCAAGGCCGGAAGAAAGCCGTGTATGAGAAGCATCATAGATGGTCGATTGTTATTAGAACTCAGAACTCATCCCAAGGTTCCGTTTTGTTCCCAACACGATTAGGCTGTGTGTCCCCTGTGTGGTTAGTGGGTGCAAAAACCCCGAACTGAATGTAGTTGCACTAGCTCAGCTCTGTTCTGCAAATATTTCGCATTCGCACCTAGTTTCACAAGCCGTTCTATCTGTGAAACCGATCCTGTCGGATTTACAATGGTAGTTCCTAACCTGTCTGTGTCGAATTGTTTGCCTAATTCATTACTGCGATTCACCTTTTTTTCGTCATATACCTCGCTCTTTTAACATTTACGCTATGATGACCATATAGATAATTTTGATAACAATCAATCAATCAATCAATGTCAGCTGGTCACCATGTTATTTATGTTATGTCTTTCATCGAGCTAATCTCTTTGGCGATTGTTTTATTCAATTTAATCGTATTCCATCGCCATGCAGCCCAATCACTCCTGTGTACGTGTCTATGCGCGTGTGTTTGTGTGATAATTTCCTTTTCTTCTGCGTGTGTTTTCCTCGTCAATGATCAGTATCGGAGTCCCGTTTGAACTTTCCTCTCCGCGGTTATGGGTTTCAAGACAGCGACCAAGTTATACGACACTTTGTGGTTCAAAACCCAAACCACACATTTCTAGGACTGGTTCTCCATTCTCAGTTGAAATCGAAGACGAACCAAATCAGCTGCATATGAGTCATCTGGGTTCTCAGCCATACTTCGATCACAAAAAGTTGTCTTCCCGTTGGACGAAGAAAGAATCTGGACAATCAGGCTTGGAGTCGGTGCATGTGGATCGTTTTTTATGTGATTCCGATTCCACTCCACGGCATCTTGCATTCCGAATAGTGCAGTCGATCGACGAAGAGTCTGCAATGTGTGTCTAGCATTCTGTTTACAAGGTTTTTTGTTTTCTCATTAGTGATAGTTTCGTTTTTTGCCTTTGAGTTCAATTTTTGCATTCAAATATTTCTTCGTTACAGGAAACAGATATTTTGGTTACTAGATATTAGTTTTCACCTTTGCGATTTGTTTTGATTCATCCATTCACTAGTCACCAGTTGGAAGCGGCAATGTACGAGGTTGTTGCGAGTACGTCCGAACACCTTCAACCGCTAATGCGTAATCACACGGATACTGCTTCCCCTGCCTATACGGAACCGGTAATGACCGATGCTCAGCTTGCAACTCTGCGACCTAGTCAATCATTGGATCAACTGGGTCTCATGTACCAGCATCACTATCAACGCGAGAAGGCTTTCAGGCAATCCAGGTCACACGCATTCCTACTCCTAATGGCTGTGGGCAATTTGGCCATTGTTTATTCCGAATGGTTTTGCTACTTTCTGCTCATTCTCAATCATATGCGCAGTTCAACCATCCTCTCGCTTCCATACCCGCTTACTGTCTTCTTGTGGGGCATGCTATCGGTTCCTAGACCTACGAAGACGTTCTGGATCTTTCTTATCACATACACCGAGGTGCGTTTATCCTTCAGTGACCTGTTTCATTTCTGCCGTTTATGCGCAAGATCCTGTCTGTCTTTGTTGTCTCACGGACCATTCCAATCTTTTAACTCACCAATTTCATTCTACCCAGTGGTTATATGCTTTGCGTGACCATTTTTCGGTTATTTGTTTATTCGATCAGTAATATATATATAAATATATTTAATAATTAGTAGTATGTGAACTACTGGACAAAATTTCCCTGGAGGCACACGACCGGTTTCGCGGTTCTTACCGCTCGTCAGGCATGCGTATCCCGTAATCTTTTATCAGTTCATTCATATACTTGTACCCAGGAAGTGTATTTTTGCAGAAATAACTCTATTTGCAACACCGGGTAACCATTTGATAGACAGCTCTTTCAGAGCGAGTCCAATGGAGAATCAATGCTATGATTCGATGTCTGTAAGTGGGTTAGAT